TATACTTTTGAGTCGTATCTAAGAAAAAACAAAAGTGTATACTATATTGAAATATAAAAGATGAAGACAATTAGAGAATGAAAAAAAGTAAAGACAATATTTCGAAACTCAGACAATCAACGCGTTATAATTTTCAAGCGGATGTAACATTAGGGAATTGCGAACATAATTTCGCTTTTACGCTCATTTTATTGTAGCGCAATAGAAAGACTACTAGTGTTGTTTGCTGTTCATTTTTTTTTTATTTTAATTTATCAACGTGAATCTAGCAGCACTTTCACAGAGCTTAATAGATAAGCTAGATATATTGCTTTGGATTGTTTTAAAAAGTTTTGTTGATGATAATCATTTGTGGTAGCATTAATTCTACTTTAGTATATGAAAGCAATAGTTTATTAAGGGTCGTTTCAACTAAATCATTTTAGAAAATGGGTATTTGAAACTTAAATTAGTAGTATTAACTGAAATTAAAATCAAAGTTCTGCCATATAAGTTTTGATTGATTGTAAATGCATTTCAATGTAATACAATAATCAGATGTTGTATTTAACCTTTTATAAAAACATACAAGAAGTTCTGAAATTTTTAAACAATGAAAAATAATTTCAATTAAAACTAAATTATAAAATATATAATTAAATTATATAACAGAATTTTTTATTTGAATTATTTCAACTTTTCAACAAAAAATATAAAAATTATCCTTACTTATAAATTCCTGTATACTGCATAATAAACAATGTTTAAAAATTTACTAGAAATATGCACGTTTCACTCGCATAAACAAACGATAAGTTAATTGTTATTATTTCTCCATATACTAATTTGAATAACAATACAGAAACAATTAAACTTTAATGAATATTAAAATACGTGCAAAATATACTAAAACAACTTTTTAAAGGAAAATAAATTATTTTAATTTCTAATTAAGTGAATTAATTGAAATTATATTTATATCTGTATATCAGAAATTATAATAATATAGATTATATACTATAAAATGTTTCGTCTTATCATATCCTATTAAATTTTTTGTAATTTCATACATATTTAAATTTCCGAATAGATATATTATATATAAAATAATGTCATTAATTTTATATTATATTATTATTATTATATTTTACTCTAATCTTCCCTTCTTCATATTACTATTTCAATATATGCAATTTACTAATTCTAAATGTAACTAATTATATTTATAGTTAAATTTCGAAATCGAGAAATTAAAAATATATTTTATTAATAGGTATTTGTAAAATTTACAAGATATTAATGATTTTACTGTACATCTTAACACGTAGAGAAATCAAATATAATCTTATGCATTACCTAATAGTAAATCAATCTTATATATTCTTGAAATTAAATAATTACTGTCACAGAAAAGCTATACAGTATACATAATGTTAATTTAGAAATATTATTTTACATCTTTATTGGTTATATAATGTTGTTGCTGTAATTTAGTATTTTTATACTAATAAGTTTTATATTTATTTTCCAATATTTAATAAAAATATCACACATCAGTATAAAAATAATGATTTTAATAAAAATGTATAATAATTATATAATTTATTTGATTTAAGAAGAATAAAATTAGAATAGATTTAAGTAAATTTATAATAACGATTATTGTTATATTAAAAGTATGAAAATGATTGCTCTGGATCTATTGTGAATTACAGATCTAAATTAAAAATAATTTTATAAAGCATTATTTTAAAGACTTCTAATAAAAAATATCTCTGAAAATCTGCAATAACAAATTAATTTTATTATTATTTAAATTCTTATTTATTACATTATGTATGAAAGTTCACGATTACAGTAACAATAACTGAAGTAAAAAAAATTTTTGAAAGTTATTCGTGTCCGAGTGATGATAAGTCGATTATTTATCTGAATAATTTTACAATATACAAAAATATGTACACGGGATTAACCAGAAATTCATGATACGATACTTACGCAACAATATTAAGAGTATAATAAATTTTTATATACAATGTCACACTTCAAAGAAACTAAAATTCTTTATTTCGTCAATTACTTTGTAACACCTGTGCACTCGAATTTCTTCTGGCTGACCTTAATCGATTCAATACTACTGTTTTTCGACAGCGTGTGGCTGTAAAAGAACGTGTCGCGTCAGCGTGTAACTCTTTTTTGCTATGTTTCATTCTCTGTCCCTCTTTCTCTCTTTTCAATTCTTGTTGTCTCAGTCTTGTATCATGTTTCTAAATATATGATCAGTCAGAAAATCAAAGGTAAATCTGGCGGAGGGAGAAAATCTGTGTTTTAACATAATATTTTTTTTAATTTTTGAGATAATTTAATGGGTTTTGTGTAAAACAGCCGAAAGATTTCTGAAAATTTTCAGAACTCGAAAAGATTTATATATTTAATTACATTAAATGGATAAATTATAATATTAGGTCGCTATTGGAATCGAAGATAAAAAAGTCGCGTCTCGAAAAAAAAAGACGAAGATCCAAGGAAAATATGTCTGTCTACGCAACTACAACAATACAACACTGCTGCCTTAACCCAATTCACCGATACAAAAATAAGATTCGTTATATGAGAGATGACTGGACATCTAGTGCGTCGTGTCATACTTTTCATACTGTCTTGCTTTTGGGCTTTTTCTCTCTTTCTCTTCCTCCTTTGATTTGATTACTTTTTCTACTCTTATCTTCGGATTCTATCGCTATTTATCGCGCATTGCCCAACTCACTTCTCTAATTTTCTGTTTATATTTTTCCTTTTCTATCATGTTTATTTATTCTTTATATTATTGTTTCTTATTTTTCTACTCTTAGTTGATTTTATTAACTGTATGAAACTTATAAACAGTAGAAATTCTAAGAAGTTATAAAATTGTTGAAATACCAATAGAAAACATATGTCTGTAAGAAATATAAAATCATCCTCTGTAAAATTAAGATTATTAAAATAACCTAATGTTGCAACTATTTAAATATAACAAATATAAACTATATAATAATCCATAATACTTTTTAATCGTTTCTAAATATCATTTATCTAAACACTTAGTTACTGTAATCAATAATTCCCTACTTTACTAAAATTATACAGTTATGCAGACAACTATAAGGTACAATAATTATATATAAAAGTGTAATATACTAATCAAAATATTCTTAGTATACAATTAATATTTTATTAAAATTAAAAATTTTTTAATTATATGTTTACATATTTTTTAAAGCCATTTTTTGATTATTTATAATTTAAAATAATACTAATTTACAACAATCAAAATATGCCTACTAATAGATCATTTAAAATGCATTATTTTAAAATATTGCGTAAAGATATATATGAAAATGTTCCAAGTATTTAAATTTCTAAAGGAAATAAATTAAACTTGACATTTTTATTATTTCTTATCCTCTTTTAACAGAATTCTATTAAACTTTGATTCTTAATCTCTCTAATTTTTAAGTTAGTTTAAATTTTTTATTTTCTGATTTACGTACTAGTACTCCTATTTCAATTCTTATTTTTTTTTACTAAGCACGTGATACAGCTACAGTAAGCACCTCTTAATCGAAATTTTTTTTCTTTTTTTTCAATCTATTTATCTATTTAACTATTTATCTGTACATCTGTTTATATGTATCTTAATTATGTTTATCGTTGTCATCCTTTCTATCTTGCTTAAACTCATAGACATTGAAGTAGCTACTTTTTGGTATCATGACATGCTGGGTCGTTTCCTATATAGTTCAACAAGCTATAAATAATACAAACCACGCCGAATTACGTTCCTAAAGAAACGCCTCTGATCTGCTCACTAGTTCTCTTTCTCTTTCACTCAATGATTCTTTATGCCCCTCTATAAATCTGTCTTTCACTCATTCTCCCTTTCTCAATTACTCTTACTGATCGTATAGCAATTTCTCTCTATCTCTCCTGCACACATACTTGGCCTGCCTCTCTATTATTCCATCATTCCATTACATTCTGATAATAAGACTTTCTGGAACTTTTTAGACTTTTATTATCTACGTATAGTCACTATATGTAACTAATTCTGTTGACTATATTTCTTTATATTCATCGTTCAAATTTCCTCGATTTGTCGTAAAAATCCCTCTTACGTTGAATAGGAATATAATGAGATAGTTAATATTCAACAAGTCCTGATATGCTCATGATATTTATTTGGTTGCCTATAAATTAAAATTCTACCGTTTCTGACAAATAGATATAAATTCATAATATCACTATTTTAATTTTTTCACAAATAAATGGTCTATTCCACGAAAGTTTCCTCTATATGTATTTTCATTTATATAATTTCGACCTTCTGTAAATAACAGCTTATAACATTTTTGAACGTTTGTGATGAAACATCTCGACCTCATTCTTTTAACTTTTTGTCTGTTCTTTATAGCACATTTGACATAGTCAGACTTTGGTATTTCTTTACTTTACTACGTAAAGTCTTTAAAACTTTTCAAATTACTCACTGAATTTTTGGTAACAACAAACTATTAAACATAATAATGTAACATTCTTTTTGAGTTTCATAGATTTTCATGGATTTTATGGTTGAATTTATAATAACGGAATAATAATAAAATATAATATACCAATACAAAATAATATATGATTAACAGATATTCAACAAAAATAATAGATGCTTAACTTAAAAAGAATAGATTTTTTTGTATTTTATGAATAATTATATTTTTCTGCTAATAAATCTTCATATTTTATGAAATTTATTCTATATTATTTACTAATATTAAATATAAAAGTCATTTTTATTTTTTATCCATTTTTTCAACGTAAATTCTTTTATCCGTTATCTATACTATTTTAAATATCTATTATTTCTTTAATATTTTTATTGGGAATTAAAATGTTCTAAATATTTTTAATGCAATAACTATATAATATAAAAGTCAATTAATTATTAATATTCCTTATAAAATTTATTTATTTATTTATTGTTGCAGGTGCGCCGAGGGTTTCACGGGCTTGAGATGCGAGACCAAGGACGTCATCAGTACTGGAAGTGTGTATAACCGTCACAGGGCACCTTTTTCTTGCAAGCTCGGACTTTCGACCTCATACTACTGCTAGCGATAGTTAAACGGGGCCCAATGAGTATACTGTTTTACTTGTGGCGTTTCCCCGATCGTTAAATTACACAAAATACAACAAAATAAAACAAAACTAACTGAAATTCACACACAAAGAAGAGGCACGTTCGTTCACGTGACAACGTAACGCTAGTTAAACAATATAAAATATACCTGCGAGCTAAAACTAACACACTCATATATAAATACATACATACTTATATATATATATATATATATATATTTGTGTGTAAGTGTGTGTGTGTGTGTGTGCGCGCGCGCAAGTGTGTGTATTTGTATGTGTGAATGTGTATTTATATATACATACATATATACACATCAGAAGGGAAACGCAAAATGAATATACAGAAACATTAAATACGCATGGGTATACTATACATAGCACGTACGAATCGTGCTAACATATTCGCGAAAAAGAAAGAAAATTTTTATTAGATTCTGCGATCCCACGTATGCGTGCGTAAATTAAGTAAACAGGTATGCATGCGTATAACACATTAACTTGGGCCAATATTACTGCTTTTCTGCATTGGGCATTAGCAAAAAAGAGAATAGAATGAACAAATAATAGAAGAGTAATAACGATTTCAATTATAACAATGAGCACGGATATACATAATCGTCGTCTTCTTGAAACGAGATGAGACTGTAATTAAATAAAAAAACTGCGAGGTCGCGCAGCGCACGTATCACAATCGTGCCTCGGACGTACCTTTAGAGCTATATTATATTTTACATATATAATACCTCTTTTTTTCGCTAATAGAAGTTTAAATAAAAAGAAAAAAGAAAAAAATATGGGCAGTCGCGGTCTTCACGTGTCGTGACCGCAGAGGAGGAAGAGAGGATATGGAGAAGAGAGAAGAGCCGCGATTTCGGATGGCTTTTTGCGGCTCCCGTATATGTATACGTTTTCCTGAGAATCCGTGAAACCACGAACGTATCATATATATCAAGGATTTCCAGGGGTTTTGCATATTTCTATAAAGATCAAGGAAATTTTGCAATAAATACCGGGACATAGTTTTTATACTTTTTTAAATATATTATTTATACTATTTTGTTACCGAATTAACTTTAAAAGTCATGTATATAAATATGTATTAATATTTTAAAAATATTTTTTATAGATCATATAGTTCTTAACTGCTTCCGAATAATGTCAACTTTTAAGAATAATTCGTCTAAAAAATATTAGAAAAAAACATAAATTGTTATTCTACTTATAGTATCTTCTTTAATAATGTACTTGATCATATTTTCATTTATGCCGTGTTGCTATTCATGGATCGAAGTAATTATTTGTAATGACTGCTAAAAATTATAAAATTAAGTGAATAATTTTGAGTAATAAATTTGTTTTCATAATAATGATAATTGAAAGATATATGCTTTAAACGAATGGATGATAACTAAATGCAGCTTCCGTAGATTAACCGATTTGGCGTTAATCTGTAAAATGAAAATCCTTTATCTTTCAGTAAAATAGGCAAAAACCCTGAGTAAAGATTCCGAGTCCACTATGACGTCCGCAATCTCGTGGGCTTTCATGGCTCAAGAAATAAGACGCCGTTTAAATTCACCTGTAAACCTCTGGAAATTTTTCATCTCTCTTGCGCTTTTCAAAGTAAAAGGCGCCACAACAAAAAGAGTACGAAACAGTAGTACGTCGGATTTCTCGCGACGGACATTTTCAACTGTTTCTATGATTCTTATATACCTACCCTCATATTGCGTACGTTGCTCGGTAATAGCGTACACGTTTGGCCATTTTGAGTGTATAAGATGGCGATGCTTTCCTTTCATTTCGCTCTTTTCCTGTATCGTATCACTATACGATTGCATTTTTTATTTTCCTTGAACGTTAAATATTATGTCCATTGTTTACTAATGATATTATGAAGAATCAACAAATCCATAAAAAATTGTTTTAAAAGTCAACGCTTTATATCTGACTATTTCCACAATTTTGAATTTGTGTATGAAATCAGCCATTATTTTTCCGTTAAAATTTGCCTCTAAATTATTAATTGAATAATTTATCTATTGTATGCCAAAACCTATAACTACATTAAATTTCTATTATATAGTGTTAATAATCCAATCAGATTTCATTATCCAGATTATTACTTTCTTAGTTCACTTTTTAATATCTTAATTAATAACTGATTATAAAAAAAATTCAAGTTTTAATATATGATTAGAATGAATATTCTAATTTCTGATCACTATTCTGTTTGATTTACTATCTTTTCATATCACTAGCATGAAATGAATTGCATCGCGAACGAAAACCCCTCTAGCTCTCTCTTTCTCTCTTTCCCTCTTTCTCTCTCTCTCTCTCTCTCTCTCTCTCTCTTCTCCTCTCTCTCTTTCTCTCTCTTTCTCTCCCTCTATCATCTCATTTCTTTCTTATCGCTTCTACGGAGAACCATACCAAAGAGTCTCGGGTCTCGATCCCGACAAACCTTTTCATTATTTCCTCCTCTCATTTGTACTCGTACTTCTGCGCATGATAAAGCTCTCATGGGTAAAAGTTTATTATTAAAATGCGGGACCGATGCGCGCAAATACGAGGACGTAACAATAATGATGAGATAACGAGGACGCAGACAAGGACAAATCAACTACAATGACGACTGTTATGACAATTTCTCGGATAATCAACTGGCAAGATGTACTTATAATACTTATATATACATACATACGAGCGAGCAATTGATAACATTTTTTGTTGATTTATTTTTTATCATTCTTTTTTATTTTAATGTCTCATCACATTACACATTGTGCATTTTTATCTACAATCACTACGCACGTTTATCATAGGTCGACGGTTCTTTTATTTTTTTACTCTCGAATACAGAAATTTTCCGATCTTAAAATATGTACCGATGTATAAAAAGTCCAACATGGCTTTAAGTATTATGTATTCGAAAAAGCAGTTAGACTCCTACATTATCATATAGTTTATAAAATTAAATAATATACTTTATTTTTTCTTAATGTCATTTAATTATTTTTTATATTTTTCAGAAAAAAAGATATTTTGATAAATTTCTGTTCGTAATTTTCCTAAATGTGTTTCTTAATTATCTTTGCAATACAAAATTAGTCATCTAAAGATTAAACTTTTTTTATTTTTGTTAATCAAGAACTTTGGAGGATTAAAAATTTTCTTGTAAATTCTTTTATTTTATATTAATAATAACCACATAAATTTACTTGTTGGTAATTAAATTAATACTAAATTAATTATTATACTATGTAGTAACTTCTAATTTATGAAAGATACGAATAATCTTAAAGTAAGTTTTTAACTATGCGGATGTGTAATAAAATAAAAACAAGATACACGAATCTTCCCTTCAAATTATTAGTTCTGTAACTGATAAAATAACATGATAAATATTTATATCATGTACGTTATTTAAATCAGATATTTTTTTAATTCATCAAAAAAATTATTTTTCTTATTAATGATTGAGATCTTATTTTTAAAAAATGTAAGAATTTAAAAAGCAAAAAAACCGTCGACCAGAGCTATACAAATATATATGGACTCAGAATAGGGTGAATGGGAGGAGGGAATCGAGACAAGGTCGGGAAAAGTTAATAAGATTTATAAAAAAAAAAGTGGCGAGCTGCGTTGCGAATATAATACGCTGTATTAAAAAATAGGTCGTGGTACGTATATACGTCGTATACGTCCTTAGATAAGCTAATTAACGAGAATAAAAGAAGAAAAAGACAAAGGACACGAGCAAATAGTTTAGCCTGATAGTGCAGCGACCGAAGCGGATCAACGAGGTTTTTACAAAACATAAACAAACAATCTCAAACGGAAAAAAGAAGAGAGTGAAGGACGACGCAGCAGAGAATTCATGACGACAAAGAAGGAGGCGTAATTTTTTCAACAGAGAAAAACAGGAAAGAAGCTACGTGTATATGTATTCTTGTTGCGTTTTGTACGTCACCTTCTATCTCTCAATATTTTTTTCTTGCGCGCGAACGTGTGTTTATGTGTACGCGAGGACGAGATCGAACTAGTGACTTTTTGTACGTATTTAATTTATCATTTTCTGCTGTTTTTGATATCGCTATTTTTATTTTTAATTCATTCATAATATTTTTTTATATTTTCTTTCAATAATCAAAAATCAAAAAGCGCACAACAGTCCTCGTACAATATCAGACCTTCAAAACGGATTCTGGAGAAAATGCGCGCGCTGTACTCCTGCAGTCTCGGGACCCTATTTATGTTTTATATTAAATTATATATATTATATAAATATGTGTATAAATTTCTAATTTATTTATTTAATTGATTAATTTTATTGATTTTATGATTAAACATCACCACCTCAAAAATATCGTAGTTATTTTTGTACTGCACATTATTATTTATTTTCGTATAAATATATATATATATATATATATATATATATATATATATATATATATATATACGTATATTCATTACTCCTTTTATTATGTTGCTGTCTTCTGTTTGCATGCCGGTTTGTTTTCATCAACTTATTTTGCCTTATAAAGGTAGGTGTATTTTTTATTTTATTATTTTTAATATGTATTTTTATTTTATTTGCACGATTTTAACGAGGAATATAGTATATTGAAAAATATAGTTACTAATCCAAATTATATTAGAAATCTCATGAATTAGTAAATACATTTTAATGTTACATAATTGATTGAAAGAAAAATTTTTTAAATTTTTGTTTTCGTTAATTTCTTTATATATATTAATCATTCGATGTAACTAAAATCTATAAAATTCTTTAATTTATAATCATGAAAATTTAATGTAATTTAAGATTTACTAATTATGAAATTATATATAATCACTCTGATAATTAACAATGATTCTCAAAATTATTAAATCAGAATCTAA